CTAGGGGCTATGTTGAACCAGAATACTGTCTGTGTCACCCCCTATGTTTAGAGTGAGGCTGGTCATCTTCCTGTGTGGGGGGCAACCTCTAGGCTCTGCAAACTGCGAAACCATGGCTGCCACATCCTGTTCATTTTCCAATTTAGCTCAACCCCTGTGTCCGGCCCAAGAGAAGAGGCGCCATGGCCCCCAAACTCATCGCCGTCCTGTGTCTGGGTGAGTCCTGGAAGGGAAAGGAGGGCAGGGTTGGGATGGAAAATGCTCTCTTGAAGACCTGACCTCTCCACAACCTGGGACTGGGCGTGGGAAGCCAGGGTCATCCACCCTCTGAATCCAGGCTGACTTGGATTCAGACCATGACAAGGAGGGCGGGATTCACGTGCAGACGCGCCGTCGCTTGTCATTGTTTTGTTTTGTTCCTTCCCCAGGGTTGTGCCTGGGCCAGAAGATCTGCACACAGGCGGGTGAGTCCTGCCCCAGTCCTAGGACGCCGTGTTGGCCAAACACAAAGTGTTCTCCAGGCAGGGAGGGTGGACACGAGTCAGGCGGACGCAGATGACATGGGGAGGGCTTTGCCGTGAGCCCCGGAAACACAGGAAGGGGGGTCCTGGGGAGACCCCAGGCACCATCTTGTTCTAGAAACCCCCTGTAGGCAGCCCCTCGGACTCATCCAGCCTTCTGAAGGAGCCTGTGATGTTGAGAATCCAGGTGTCTGGGGGTGGGTTGGGGCAGTCTCTGTCGGGAGGCAGGGACCCGGTGCTGGGCACTTGTGTTGGGAATTGTTTAAACGAGTTGATGTGTTTTTGTATTGCTTGAATCTGGTCGGTTTCCTCCCTCTCTTCCACGCACAGATGTCTGTTGTTGCAGACAAAATTTAGGAGCAACTTGGCTCAATGTTGTATCACCATGCCCAGTAGAACACTGTTCTGGGAAGACCTTCGTGTTCACTCTGGGGTGGGCTGTGTCCCTGTCCCACCACCAGGTACCCAGGGCATCAGGGGACCCACGTTACAGGGCAAAGCAGCCCAATGTGAAGAAGGAAAGCCCCCAAGGACAGTGGGGGGGCTCCACACTTCCCTCTCTAGGCTGTGCCTCCTCCTCCTCCAGGTGCTCCCAACGAGCTCTCCCTGTCAGCCCGGCCGAGCCCTGTGGTTCCCCTGGGAGGACGTGTGACTCTCTCCTGTGATTCCCATCATCGGTTTGCCACATTCACAATATACAAGACATCTGGGAACCAGGACCCGGTGTTGCTCACTGGCCGTTCCAGTGACTTTACCATCAGCCCCGTGACCCCAGGACACGCAGGGACCTACAGATGTTCTGGATTTTCCAGCCGCACCTCACAGCAGTCAGCTCACAGCAACTCCCTGATGATCGTGGTCACAGGTAGGAGAAGTCCAGCCCATCCCGTGTCCACTAGGTGTCCTTCCCAGAGTTGCAGAATGACAATGCTCTAGAGATCTAATACACAGCATGGTGACCACAGCCCACACAGCTTCCAGTGGGAGAGGCTATTTTGTGTGTGGATTTTGCCTTCCTCCAAGATGGCAAACTGCAGAAGAAATTGTCCAAGGGGCAAAAGAAACTGGAGGTTTGGTGGGGTGTGTTGACTTCCCTCCACCGATTAAAGATGAGAGGTGAGCAGGACTCAGGCTGCTGCCTCCTTCATGTTAGTACTGGGGAAGGAGCTCATTCCTGTTAACGATGAGGATTCGTCAGAACCTAAAACTGTCATGGCTACTGTGAAGAAAAAGTAAAGCCTAAGTATACCCTAAAGAAATTAGTCCTTCCCAGAGTCCACAGCCAGTGAGTCCAGAGAGCCACTGTGGGATTCCTGGTCATGCACTCACTGTGGACACAGAAGCCATCCTGAGAATTTAAAGACAGGGCATTTCATGTGAGGAATCAGCTTCCCTGGTGGAGGAGGGAGGAAGCCGAGCAGCAGGACAATCTCCCTGGGAAGTAGCAGGTGCAGGGTGCTGGTTCCAACTCCAGCAAGGTGGATTCAGGGAGGAGAGATGTCCCCTGACCCCAGCTCCAGCATTTCCCCAGGGAAGTCGTTTTCCTGCCTCGAAGGAGCCAGAGCTTTGGGGAAGTCACAGTTCCCTCGGGAGGCGTGTCCGGTGGCTCAGTGGGACATGACTGGGAAAGGCACCCATTCCTCCCTCCTCCTCCTTCTCAGTCTCCTGACATTCGTCCCTTCTCCCTGATGGATGTGCAGAATGTCCCACAGAAAGTTACAAACTCATCCCGTAGAGTCGTCCTGCCCATCCTATAAAGCAGGGAAGGGAGAGTGTGCAGTGAGTCTCACAATCAACGAGCTCAGGAGGAACAGACAAGAGGTTGAGTCTTTCAAGCAAGAGAAGGGAGGAGAGCAGGTTTGGTGAGGCCGGGAGATTCAGGCTACGCAAGCTCCGGGAGGATCTGGATGGAGGCTGAGGCTGTGAGGAGCTGCTCAGCCAAGGGGTCTGCCGTGTCCTTCTGCCTAAGTAGGAAACAGAGTCACTGCCACCTTCCCCTCCAAGTAGTCACGTATAACCTCTTGGGTTTTGGGGCAAAACCAGTTGTTTCCAGCAGTGGGAACCTGGGAGGTTCTTTCTAATCCTCTGGAGATTCTAGTATTTTTCAACACACAGCGTTGAAAATTAGTGAGGCTCATAACCTCATGGTCCCATGTCAGGGATCCTAAGCCAGCACTGTGTTTGCTGAAGGTTCTCAAAGCACAGAGCAATTCCCGCTTTCCAGGAGCACCGCACGTCTCATATGGCCTCAAGGCAGAGCACGGGGAGCGGTGCAGAGAGAACACGCACAGTCAGGAAGGACGTGGATGGGCTTTGGCGGTGACGAGGGAGAGCTTCACCCTGAGGTCCCAGGTGAGGGGTGAGGAGGGTGAGTCATGTGAACTCCTCTGTCTTTGCTCCCAGGTGCGTTCAGAAAACCATCCATCTCTGCACACCCAAGCTCCCCGGTGGCTGCGGGAGCCAGGGTGACCGTGCGCTGTCACTCGGAGCTGGCATTTGATGAATTTATCTTATACAAAGAGGGGCACACACAGCATTCCCAGGAGCTTGACGAGGGGATGGAGGCTGGGACTCACTACATCGAGGCTGTGTTTCTCCTGGGCCCCGTGACGCCGGCCCATGCGGGGGCCTACAGATGCTGTGGTTCTTTCAGTCACTCCCGCTATGAGTGCTCGGCTCCCAGTGACCCCCTGGAGATTGTGATCACAGGTGAGTGTGGCTGGACCATCCTGCTCCGCTGGTGCCCTGGGAGCTTCCTGGAGTGATGGGGTTGTTAATCAAACCTCAGGAGAGGAAGAAAAATGAAGGAACAGAGGGACTGTGAGCAGGAGCTCAGCAAAGGGGTTCAACATGTCTTAGTGCTTAAGGAGGGGGGAGGGGTCACTTTCACCCTCCCCGGCAAGTTGTCACCTCTAACTCCTTGGGTTTGGGGGCAAAGCCAGTTCTTCCCTGCAGTTGGAGTCCGTGAAGTTCCTTCTGCTTCTCCAGAGATTCTTGTATTTTTCAACACCACAGAGTTGAGAAATAGTGAGACTCATGTAGTCCTTAGTCCCATGTCAGGGAATCCAAGGCCGGCACTCCGTTTTCTGAAGCCTCTCAAAGCACAAAGTAACTCCCATTTTCCAGGAGAACCCCACACCCCATATGGCTTCAAGGAGCAGTAAGCCACAGAGACACAGTCAAAAGCCACGGGGAATCTACGAAAGGCAGAGGAAGCGAAACGACACAGACACAGGCTGGGTCAGGACCCTAGAGAGGAAGATGAGATTGACAGAGGCAGCAGCCGACATTCGGAATCTGCCCCCATGTGAGAGCAGGGAGAGAGAGGACTTTGTTCACGAACTCAGGAGTGTGTTCTAAAATCAGCCTCTTTTTCTTCCAGGAAAACACAAAAAGCCTTCTCTCTCCACCCAGGTGGGCCCCATGGTGGGGTTGGGAGAGAACGTGACATTATTCTGTATCTCCGAAGTCTCATTTGACCGGTACCATCTGTGGAGAGAGGGGGCTCCTCATGGCCAGTGGCTCAGTGGAGGGCAGGGACACAGGGGAGCGTTCCAGGCCAACTTTTCCGTGGGCCCCGCAATGTCAGCCCATGGCGGGACCTATAGATGCTACGGTTCTTTCAATGCCTCGCCGTATGAGTGGTCGGCCCCCAGTGAGCCCCTGCACCTTTCCGTCACAGGTGAGGAACCCACGCCTGCTGCATGC